AAATACTGTATATTTTATTAATAAAATAAAGAAAAAATTATATGTAAAATATCTAAAATGGTCATCTACAGTAACTTCAGCCAATACAGCCAGAAAAGTAACTCCAACCTTACTTTTTCTGCTTATTACACAATTCAGCGCGCGAAAGCAAAAGTTACGTGTTTGGCGAAAAAGCTGGCTGATAAGCCTGATAAGCCGAAAACCTGTGTTTTCAAACAGCCTCTTAGTGATATAAAGAACCATAAAAATAAAGTATTAATATGTTAGATTATAAGTGGGGAAATAAAGCAACCAAGATGACTATAATAACCATAATAGTAGGAACAAGATTCACATGAAACAATAACATGCATTTGTGTTGTTATATGAAAACACATAACAAACACAATAATGTTTTGGTTGGAGAAATAGTCAAATATTTATTGGGTTGTAGCCAAGGTTGTCAAAATCGTAAATTTTGATCGAATCGGTGGAAGGTTTTAAAAATCGAATTGTAAAATCGAATCGCAAATCGTAAGATTTTAAGAAATATAAGTAAATAAATATCTAAAAGGTATGAGACAACAAATTAACATTAATATGTCAACTGGATGTCCATGCTCCCAACCAGGATCTTCTCTACTTCCATATGCATTTTTTCTTTTCTTTGTATCAGGCATATCTCAGAAACTAAAGAAGATGAAAACATTTTATAAGTTTACTTCATCAATTAGTAAGTTACTTATATAATCAATGTTAAACACTTAAATAGATGAGATGTGAAAAAAATAAAGAAACACATCAAACATAAAATCTAAGAGTATAGATTCATTGAGCACAAAATATTGTAAATAAAAAAGAACTTTTTAGAAAGAACTTATTAAAAAAGCATGAAAGAATAAGGCAATCAAAAGCTCCATCCATGTGCTCATATAATCATATACTCCTAATAGAGAAGGAAGAACACTCAATAAATTTTACGTAAGTAATATATTAATATATAAAGTTAATAATAAAATAATCTACAAATTTTTAGAGAAAATTCGAGCACCATGCCACCATCATCTTGACAAAACTATATAACACTCCGTATAATAAATTATATATGGCGTTCAAGGATTAAAATTAATTTTAACAGGATTAAAACATCTAATGCATAATGTTGAAGTAAATCTAGTGCCAAATGGGGAGAATGTATTACTGAGATACAATTGCAATCATAAATCTCTTTTCTTGGAAGCAGAGGCCAGATTCCAGAAAAAGGAAGAAGAAGGGTTAGTGGGGTTGGACATTTGAGGAGTTAACTTTTACGAAGTACGAGTACTGTAATATTTAGGGGGATTTTGGGATTTGCGCTTCACGCACGCGGGACGGCGGGTTATTAGGGTTTTATTTTCTTTTTTTCGTTAAAATTTTTTCAAATTGCAGCCATGTACAAAATCGTACGAATCGTACCAACTCGCGATTTTGAACGATTTTACACGATTCAGATTACGATTTCATACGATTTTAATAAAATCCGATTTATTTAACGATTTGGATCGATCTTTTGATATAAAATCGTAAAATCGTACGATTTTACGATTTGAATCTAGATTTTGACAACCTTGGTTGTAGCGCATTGAGAACATTTGTACTAATAGTAGTGGGAAATAGTGAATAATAATTAATAATCTCTCCAACCTAAAAAGTTAATAATAAAAAGTACATACAAGCTTAAATCAATTATTTTTTTGACAACCATTCCAAATCACTATTAAAAAAAATGTCCTCAAAACTATTGATTGAGCTGGACAACACAAGGACAAGCTCCCAACATTACCTGCACTTTCAGAATTACACGCACAAAAACAAGTCATTCAGGAAATGAGCACATTATCATCTTTATCTCTTCTCTCTAACTTATTCATCTTTGTTGTTTTCTTAACACTGGGAGAATCAAAGACAAACTATGTCCCAGGAAGCTACAAAGCTCCAGTAGTGAAGAAACAAACCCAACCTTCTAACCCAAAGTTGCCATATGAAGTCAAGTACTCTCCCCAAACTCTTGACCACTTTACTTTTCTACTCAGAGGCTACAAAATCTTCTACCAGAAGTACCTCATTAACAAGGACATAGAAGTGCATAGAAGCTTAAATTAGTCTTTAAAAGGTGGAAAATTGAAAATAATACTAACAGAGTGTTCAATGAAATCGTATGTATCAGTTATGCCAAGTCATTGTCATTTAATCAGTTGACATTTGCTAATTCAGAACCTAAGAGCATCTACGAAAGGGTTGACCTGGTTAAGAACATGCCAGATCATCTTCGGTGTTAAAAGACAATTCCAGTTATAAACAGCAGTCCAAAGCGGTTTGAATTTCAACGAATTAATGACTCTGCATTACAAATTTTATGAAGGAATGAACTATTTATCAGTACATGACAAACTGAAGCGTGTACTTAACTCACAGGTTCAAACAAGGCCTTACATTAGAGACATGCTTTCACATTTTGACACTATCATAGCTAGAACCATAACTTCTAACAAGAAATTCACAACTTTCATCTGAAAACCTCAAATCAATTATACAACTTGTTTGAGAAAAAAATCTGAGACTTTTTGCACCTGCTACTTTTAATACTATTATTAGCTAATACTCCGTAGAAAACTATGTAAATCTTTGAAACTTCATAACTTCTATAACTTTTATAGAAGAGAAAATTTTGTCTATGAAACTTTGTAACTTCTAATGTAAACTTTACAAGGGGAGGAAATTAACATCTTTGTACGAAACTAAAACTCAACCAAAGCAATTTATTTTTTCAATATGTAATCAGAATGCAAAGAAAATAAATTGTTGATCAGAAGACTCATTCCAATTTTGCCTAAATTAAACTATATTTGAGCTGTTTGTCTCAATACCATAACACTAAAAGTTAATTGATTCCAAAAAAAAAAAATAGCTTCAAACAGGAAGAGAGCTATGAGTTAGAGTCCTCCACATCTTTTAAGTAGAACTTATACTTCAGTTATGTATGAGTTAATAAGGCTCACAGCTACACATGCTTCGGTATTTGTAAAGCATTACAAATATAAAAATAACACTACCTATAAGTTCTCTTTAAAATATAAGTTATATTTAAAATATAATCATGCTTTAGTCAACTTTGTTGGAACTGTACGTTGTACATTGATGTATTAGAAACAGATGCAAACCATTTTTAAAAGGCTGAAATAAAAAAGAGTAGGTATAAATAGAGGTTTGAGAGCTAAAAAAATACTTGGTTTCATGTGGGCATTTAAACAAACACATAGATGACAGAGATATAAAGGGGAAACTACACAATTAGAAGATGGAATCATCAACTCAAACTACCATAGCCCGTACAGTATAGCCACACAGGGATTTGGGAGGCGGCAGAATTGAATACATGAAACCCAAAAAATCTCCACAGACAGGGAACTAATTATACGAATTCACTGGTAAATAAACAAGTGAATTGAAACAGAGATGCGGAGAATAATAAAGTAACGATACAATACAAATTGATTGAATAGTGAATACACTGGAAAAACTTACGAGAGTAGGACAGAGAAGAAGCGAAAAATCCAGCGAGCAGTTCCGACAGATTACTTATAATGGACCATCTGAGGACCTTTGAGAAACTAAACTTCCTAGAAGGCATTACAATGGAGCGGGGATGTTGAGGGCTGAAACTGAAGAAAGGAGCGAAAATAAACTTACAACTTAACTATGTACAACAAGAGAGAGCTCTTCTCATCAGGCCGGCCTGACGGGCTGCCCCGTCCGGCCGAGCCCGTTTGGGCATCTTCCCGGTGGAATTTTTTGATGAAATTTTTTGAGCATGTTCCTCATCAAGTCTAGTTTGTCCATACCAAATTTCAGCTCAAAATTCAATCGGGAAGGTCGTCAAATGATTTTTGCAAGTTAACTGGTCCGGAAAATGTATGTTCCGGACCAGTTAACTTGCAAAAATCATTTGACGACCTTCCGGATTGAATTTTGAGCTGAAATTTGGTATGGACAAACTAGACTTGATGAATAACATGCTCAAAAAATTCCACCGGGAAGGTGTCCAAACGGGCTCAGACGGACGGGGCAGCCCGTCAGGGCGGCCTGATGAGAAGTTTCATCTACAACAAGATACTCCGTAAAAGAGAGAGGGGTTTCTCCGTAAGGATATAACGTTGAAAGGTGCAAGCAGATTAACTATGTAAAACAAATTAAATATAAAGTAAAGTGAGATTAAGCATCAAGAGACACCAACATCTTTTTTAAGCCCGTTTAACCCCTGACAATATTCCCCTTATAATATTGTAGAGATACACAATCTAAACTTTGGACTTTGGATATTTTTACTTCCATAATTTGTTAGATGAGATTTTACATTTTTAATCTGTATGTAGTTTTGGTGATGGGTGATTTATGGTTTAAACATGCAACACGACCTCAGAATCACGTAACTCCCAATTTATGATTTGGAGGGATAGTTACTATGATTTGGAGGAAGGGAAAACTGTCAAATAGGTCCTCGAACTTTCATAAAAGGGTCAATTAAGTCCTTCTACAGGAGATTCTGTCAGGCCGTCGTGATTTGGGGCAGTTCCCGGTGGAATTTTTTGATGAAATTTTTTGAGCATCTTATTCACCAAGTCTAGTTTACTCATACCAAATTTCAGCTAAAAATTCAATCGAGAACACATTCAAATTAATTCTTGAAGATAACTGCACATTTTTGCGTTCTCGAATTAATTTGAATGCGCTCCCGATTAAATTTTTAGCTGAAATTTGGTATGAGTAAACTAGACTTGATGAATAAGATACTCAAAAAATTTCATCAAAAAATTCCACCAGAAACCGCTCCAAATTGCGACGACTGGATAAAGTCTCCTATTTGACAGTTTTCCCTTTGGAGGAATGATCATTACTCCTATTCCTAGCATTAGACTTTGTCACTTTTCATTTCATTTTTTTCAATTTCTCGCTCGACGTTAAATTATCGAAGTTGAGTGGGACGGAGTCAATATAGTATATCTCCGTGTGAGTTTAGTTAAGTCTTACAAAAAAACCATGCCTATGCAAAAAAACATTGCGCACCCTCCTATGATTTTTTTTAGCCTGAATTTTGTCTGTATCATCCATCATCTAAATGGGTCTCGGTTGTTTTCTTTCCCGCCTACCTAAAAGCTTCCCGAGCTCCCGAATTCATCCGATGAATCCCTTTCCCAGTCTCCATAACGGTGACCAGCGTCTACTTGGGGCACAATCCAACCGCACTATTCACACATTTGACCAGTCCATCCATGAACAATCACTCAACCAAATTCCAGATTCTAAAATTACCAAAACCATTGATGAAACGGAAATGATCTGCAAGCTAGCACTGAACCACCGCACATCGCAGACAGAGTTTTACTGTAACCTGAACTCTGCCTCCGTGGTTCCATCTCCGGCATTGGTCACTGATGTTCTCAAAAAGCTCAGCAACTCCGGCGTTCTTGCGTTTTGGTTCTTCCGGTGGGCCGAGAAGAAGACCGGGTTCCAGCATACCGCCGAGAGCTACAACTCTTTGATTGAAGCTCTGGGTAAGATCAAACAGTTCGCGCTGTTATGGAGATTGGTTGATGAAATGAAGAAGAAAAGGCTGGTATCAAAAGACACATTTGCCCTAATATCCAGGAGATACGCGAGGGCTAGGCGGGTGAAGGACGCGATAAACGCGTTCGAGAAGATGGAGATGTATGGGATGAAGGCTGAACTACAGGACTTCAACAGATTGTTAGACACTCTGTGCAAATCTAGGGCTGTCGGGACTGCACACCAGGTGTTCGACGAATGGAAGCACAAAAGGTTCAAACCAGATGTGAAAACCTACACCATACTCCTAGAAGGGTTCGGTGAAGAAAGGAACATGCTGATGCTGAATGAAGTGTACCGTGAAATGTGTGATGCTGGCTTTGAGCCAGATGCTGTGAGCTATGGGATCATCATCCATGCTCACTGCAAGGGTAGGGAGTACAATAAGGCTGTCGAGATGTTTCATGAAATGCAAAGGAGGAATGTCGAACCAACGCCTCATATTTATTGCACCCTGATCAATGGGCTGGGATCAGCAAATATGTTAACAGAAGCTCTCAATTTTTTTGACATATACAAAAGTAGTGGCTGTGTGCTTGAGTTGGCTACATTGAATGCTGTGGTTGGAGCTTATTGTCATTCCTCCCGAATGGATGATGCATATCGGACAATTGATGAGATGAGAAGAAGTGGGATCGGTCCAAATGCTCGAACGTATGATATAATTCTTCGTCATCTCATAAAGGCACAAAGAACCGAAGACGCTTACTCAGTTTTCCAGAAAATGGAAAAGGATCTTGTTTGTGAGCCGACTGTGAGTACGTACGAGGCTATAGTGAGGATGTTCTGTTCTAAGGATCGCGTAGATATGGCTTTGAGAACGTGGGATAAGATGAAGGGTAGAGGGGTGCTTCCAACAATGCATATGTTCTCAACGCTAATCAACAGCCTTTGCCAGGAGAATAAGTTGCAGTGTGCCTGCAAATACTTACAAGAAATGGTTGATTTGGGGATTAGGCCTCCAAGGGCGTTGTTCAGTAATCTGAAACACGCTCTCCTGGAAGACGGACAAAAAGATACAGTTATTGCACTGGCTGAGAAAATAGAGACACTGAGGAAAACTCCTATGGTCGGATAAATAGCTACTCTTTTCTTTTAAGTTATTAAATTAAATTCAGAAGAAATTATACTTCGTATTTAATAGGAACAGCACAAGAGTGTTATTCTTTCGGTCTGGGATTTCTGAGGCTCTAGTCTGGAATGGCCGGTCTTAGGACCAACTTAGAATGAAATTAGACAAAAACAAAGCAGACTATTTCGTATTGTACTATACCAAACTAGTCCATGAAAACGATGAGGATATAATGGTGATTTGTATGTGGGAAAATGATTTTAACTATCACCGATCAATTCTTAATACGGAGTAATACGTACTATAGTCATAATTATTCCATATATAACAAAAATAATACAAAGTCATTTTTAATATTAAATCCTTATACTTGACCAATTAAAAAAGACACAAGTCACACAACCGTCAAATAGGCTTTATTTGATGGTTTAGTACAACTTTTTATTGAGCTAGTTGGTCAAATTTAACTAGAAAGTTCATCTTCATCAGTTTTTCATACATTGTAATATTGGGGGTATGTAATAATAATTTCTATATTACTCCGTATATACTACGTATCACGTAGTATTATTTGTTGATTAGTGATCAATAGATGATACATGAAAGAATGACATATATTTATTACTCCCCAGCTTTCATTAGACAAAAATATGACCTTTTTTAAATTTCCAGAAAAGTTACCCATCAGCTTTCTCTCTTCCGTGAAACACTCTTCCGTGCTCCCCTCCTCTCTGTCACTCTGTGAGCTTATTTGTGTCCATCGTTGCATCAGGAGCCATATGGCGTAATAATTATTTAAATACAAAATGCATTTCTTTCTTTTTAAGTTAGTTAATTCCAACAGCAATACCGATATTTATATACAATAATATTATTAAGAATATTAATGTTTTTTAGTTTTTAATATTAAGAGCTCATGATGGCAAACAAAGTTACGGAAATCTTCTCCTTCTTCCCTCCAGGGTTTGGCTTCCTAGCCGTCTCTAGTGTAGTATCAATTTTCCCGTCTCTTTCGTCTCGGCGTAGCAGTGCTTGCGAAGCAGGGACGAAGAACGTGGTGGTGGGGCGCGAATTCGAGGGCTGGTTTCGGAAACGCAGAAGCAAGGGATCGATCGAGGCGGCTTTGACTCTAGCATCGATCGGTGGGTTTGCGGCAGAGCTTGGGGCGGATGGCTGGTTACGCTACTCAACTGATGGAGGAAGTGCTGGACCAATATAAGAGGATGGCTTTAGGAGAGGACAACAATAATCTCTACAGAGGAGACTTGGTAGAGAACAAGATGAATAAGAGGCAAGGTGAAGTAGAAGCTACAGTACTGTTAGAGCGTCCCCCTCCCGAACCGCCGCCATAGAGTGCAAAAGAGTCTAGGGGTTGGAAGCATCTTTTAAATTCTACTTTTTTCTTGCGATTTATTTTTCAAGATCAGACTGGTTATTTTTCCTTTGGTTATTTTTATTATTGTAAGACCCTTGCATTAGGTTTGGGGGATGAGAGTTCTGCAATAACCATTATTGACTCAATTATGCCCATTTTCGGATCAGCGAGTTATATAGCTTTGTCAAAGGTGATTAACTCAGAATCTGGCCCAAGGGCGGATGGTTGCTGGTGGTGCTTTTGTTATTTTAGTCCCTTTTTGAATGCTGTGATTTTAATCTAAGCCCACTTCTTCCAAAAAAATATTAACAGCTCATGTGCATTTACCAGATCAGAGGGTTATATTTGATAGTGCCCCTGATTGTATTTTTCAGCCATTTGGCTAACGATTTATTGGAATAATATATGAGGACTGAATTATGATAAATAAAAAAAATTAATTAGAAGGAAAAGAATAATCATTACTGTGTATAGTAAACTTGCTCGAAAAAATAATCTTTCGCTATTTTCCTACTCTTGCTTGCTTTCTTCTGTTATTAGCGTTTGTATTATCCCCCTTTTTATTAATAAAATATTACTAGTATTATATAATTGCAATTTGTTTAGGTGAGGTCTCTTGATCAAGCTTTTTGCTAAAATAAATTCAATCTTGTAAGGTCATGGCCTTTATACATAAATTGGTGAATCTTTAACTTGTTCCCTTAGATTTGATGATTTTTTAATGATCTTTCTAATGATATCAATAGTGTGTTATTACTATGTGTAAAAACTGAAAAAAACCTTAGTTCTCTAAATATCTATTTTTAGCAGGATTCTTTTTAAAAAGTTTCATATGAAAAATCATAAAAAAGAGAAACAATTGATCTTTAAAAAAATGAAAAAGTTAAAACAATTGTCAAATACTACGTAATAAAGAGTTGACCCACAAATATGTCATTGACGGGCAACTAGAGGTAGGGGTGGGGTGAACGTTACCCTCAAAATGAGGTGTGAACAAAATCGAAGATGTGTTATATTCAATTCAGATTATGGAATTTTCGATTTGAGTAACCCCATAATGAAATAATGAATGACAAGAACTTAAGAAAAGAAATAAAATGCTGAAATGCTCTGTAATGTACTAACGTGTAATAATGCTGAAATTATGAGACAAAATGGGTGCCTTATACACTGCAGTTTCCAAAATTTCACCAAAACAATGAGAAGTAACACTAACTTTGGTACAATCACAAGAAGAAGATGAAACCTTACAGAAACTCGATCAAAACTCGTTGTGATCAGGTGCAGACACCTCCATGTAACGCCCCCCGCCGAAATTAGATTCTCTTCTCGATTCTAACTCATCTTCCAGAGGAATCATCTCATTCAGTCCATGGATCACAATCCAGTCATTGCTATACATATCTGGAACTGAAATCCTAATTCCATTCACGTAAACCTCGCCATTTCCGCTGGACACATTCATGCTAAACCCGTTCGCGTAGTCCATGAATGCCGCTCCGCTGTTCTTACCGATCTCTTTCAGATCTGACCAACGAACAACGCAAGGAAGCACATGCGCGATCAACACCGACTGATACGCCATTATGTTGCCCGTATACTGAACCAGAGCCTCATCTACCGGAGCGAACACAGTCAATTTCATCGGCGAAGTGGTTGCGAATCCGAACAACTGTAAATCCAGAAATGACGCCATTGTTGAATACCCCCTCGATTTCAGTGTGATGGAGGCCTCGTGTAGCAGAGAAGACGAGCGCAATTTGCAGTCGGAGATTTGGACTGATCTAGGGTTCGTCGTAGCAGGCATTGGCGGTGAGGAATTCGAGGGGAAGAAATTATCGACTGCGTACGCGATTACAGGGCCGCCATCGTCGAATACTGGCCAGCGGGAGACGTTGACGCCGTTGATGGAGACCTGACGACGAGAGTCGTCAGAGGAGGAACAGCTGATGTATAGGGAACCGGAGGGAGATAGATTGGGGATTTCAGAGCCTACAGATTGGGAACCGAGAGCGGACATAGAGAGCGCGAGAGGGGAGAGTTGGAGGAGGAGCTGGCCCAGTGAAGGCTGGCCGAGCTCTTCAAAGACGGAGTCCGGCGGAGAGAAGATTGTGAGACTGGGGGTGGTGGCGGTGGTTGCGTTGGAGATGGAGCTGATGAGAGTTTTCGCGATGAGCTCAATAGTGAGAGACATGGCGACGTAGCCGGAGTCGGAGAGAGTCTGTAGGGCGCCCGTTAGCGGATGATATTGCGGCTGCTGCAGCGGTGGAGAGGTGTCCATTTGGGCAAAGGTGATGGAAGTACAAATGCTGCAGACTATAACGGCGGCGAGGAAGAGCGAGCTCGATAACACCATTTCCATTCTGGTGTTTGGCCGTGTTTCTGATACTCAGTTGTCAGTTCTTAACGAACTACCAAGAATGAGCGAAGAATTCATCTTTGTTCATTATTCTACGCAGTAAACTATTATACTCCTAATTCAATAACTAAATACTACTCCGTACCGAGTATTACCTCCCTCCCTTTTCAGGGTCTGTTTACCGCTGCTTTAAAAAAAGCACATTCTCAACTTTTGGCTTTAAAAAAGTACTTATTTTCCTAAACACTACAACTTTTATTTTTCTTGACTTCAGTGTCAAAAGTGCTTTTACTTTTTCTATTACACAAAAAGCACTTATTTTACCAAACACTACCCACTTTTACTTTTCAAAATCACTTTTTTCTCAAACACTATCAACTTTTATTTAATCACTTCTCCCCATTTCATTAAAAAAAGCATTTTTTTAAAAGCAGAAGCTGTTGCAAACAGACCCTTATTTAGGTATCTTGATCTATTATTTTAATTAATATATTTATGTGAAACTTGAAAAGATGTTACGCAGTGAATCCTAATTAAGTACACATACATTGTGAAAATACTGCGGAAGGCCGCACATGGGGTTCTAGGTTTGCGCGAAGTTTTGGAAAGCTTTTGACGTGAGGATCTCGGTGGGTTCCCTTGCGAGTGGAGTTTCGGCGTTTGTGGATTACGGTGTAAAACTGAGACACTGTTTTGGTACACGCAGTCCAACCAAGAGCAACGACGGAATGAGCTAGTAACGTCGCAGCATAAATACCTATTCATCAATATTAATGACGGATATTAACGAACAACGAGAGATTGAGAAGCTGGCTACCGCGTATGGAAACATGGAGATGGAAGATGAGAACGAATTTCTACAGGTAGAGGCTCTAGCACCTCATAGTGATGAAATCGGTTGGGCGTTGGTAGGGACAATCACTTCTGAAACATCGGTACATTTTCCATTCTTTCGTGATGCCATGGCAAATATCTGGAGACTAGTCAGGGGTGTCACTATTACTGAGTTAGGGAATAGAAGGTACATGTTTCAGCTTTATAACGAAAATGATATGCTAAGGGTCCGAGAGGAGGGTCCCTGAATTTTTGAGCAAAACCGGATTGTACTTAATAAGTTGTGGAAAGGTGATTTACCTCTAGAGGTACCCTTGAACAGAGCTGATTTTTGGTTGTAGATTCATGATGTCCGTGTTGGATATTTCACTATGAAGAATGCAATTAAAATAGTCAATCTTGTTGGAAAATTCATCAAAGTGGATGAATACCACTTTTCAGTCAAATGGAATCCATTCATGAGGATAAAGGTTAATATAGATCTGACCAGGCCTCTTAAACGGAAGTTATTTTTGCAATCAGATGAAGGAGATAATTTTTGGTTGAGGTTTAAATATGAGAAGCTTCCTAGTTTTTGTTTTGCATGTGGTATAATTGGGCACGCAAAAAGGTACTGCCCACGCTACCCCAATGGGGTGGGGAAGGGGGGAGAATTACTATTTGGATCGGAATTGAGAGATGTTAAGGGGAGGGTAATGCCGAGAGAGAACAAGTGGTTAGCTCCAGTGGGTAAAGGGAATGAAAAAGAAGGTGCAAACTGTAATAAGGCATCGGGTGGGGGTAACTATAGGATTCCACGAGAGCAAGAACATCATCTTACAGGAGAGAAATTTGAGCAGAAGCGTAGGAGTTGACCAAGGAGCGGAAGACTCTCTGCAAGCAGGCGTGGAGATAGAGAGGGGATTGGCAAAAAAACGGGGAGGAGGCAGAGAACAATGCCCGCCTGACACACAATTGAAGTTCTGGAAGGAGGATCTAGCAAGGATGGAAACTAGAGATTCCATCGGCGGTAGCTTTAATTTTATTGCATTTTCCCTTCAAACTTAATTTACTTGTTGTTTTTGTTTTGCACAATAAGGGGGGTGGGTTTATGTGTTGCTTATTTGTAGTTAGTATGATTTTTTTGTAGGTAATCAGACTGAATCAACCGCTAATAGCATCTATGCTATGACTATTACAGCGAATAGCCTCGCTCTTTACGGGGTGGACTATTCTATGTCTGACCATGACGTGAGGGGGCTGAAGGGCTTTTGGCATGGGTTGAATAGAGGGAAAACTAGAGTTGGTGATTGGGATGTTATGGCGACTGTTTTGATCTTAATAGAAGAGTTTCCATTTAAAAAAAATATTTATGCGAAACTTAATAAATTTGTACTTTTATGATAATATTTCAAACATAGACCATTTTCATATTATTTTCATTTTATCAATATTACCGTGTATAAATATATAATCGGTCAAAGTTCAAAAACTTTGAGTTGAAAACTAGTGTTTGGCTGAATTAAAAGTACGAAGGGAGTACCAAAAAGATTTCACCAAAAAGATTTTCCCCACTTAAATCAGTGTTTAGGGAGTGTTTCTAAATCACTTTTTAAAGAGATTTTGAAAAAAGTGATTCATAGTAAAATTTGCTATTGTTTGAGACATAAATGATTTTGAAAAATAAAATTGATAGTGTATGATAAAATATGTACTTTTGTGTAATATAAAAAGTAAAACACATATTGTCAAGTTTCTTTTAGCCAAAACTTGAAAATCAATTTTTTTTTTGCAAACACTGCCTTTGTGCCTTGGTGATCGCTAGAAAGGTTTTAAAGTTTTTTAGTTGTTGAAACTTAATTGAAAAAAGATTTTTATGGTCACAATGACACCAAACAACATACAATCCACTGTAATTTATAATGACACAAATAAATCAACAGTTACATCACTAATTTTTCAATTTTATCATCCTATAAATCATATTTTTATCGGTTATTCTCGCTAAATGAGACTAAAAGTACTCCAAAATTCCACATTAGCATTATACTCCTTTTATTCTCAAAATAGGAGTAATAAATGTTTCTTCTTCCTAACTTACCCCCCAAACTAAAATTTCTAATAGATTTATTTATTAATAAAAAATCATACTTTTATTTATAAAAAATGAAAATTGTAAAAATATTTATAAAATAATAAAATAATCAGGGAAAAATAAAAACCAATAAATTTCTTTTTAAAAATTTAAAAATTTTAAAAAATAAAATAAATAACCTTAAAAAATATTAAAAAAATGTGTAGGACACTAACTCTGCATCTTCCACCGCTCAGCACCACCACACCCGATCGCCGGGAAAAATGGCATCTTGTGTAAAAAATGTCACATTTATCTGAAAATGCCATAAAGATGGCATTATTAATCTTTGAAAATATCTAGCTTTCTTTACAAAATTTTTATTACGATGACATTTTCCCCTAACTTGGCAATCTTTTTCGGCGATCGGAGGTGGCAGACTGGCAGTGCAGGAAGGTGGCTGAGGTGGTGGTAGAGGTATGCATATCCTTATGATTTTTTTAATATTTTATAATGATTATTTAAAAAATCCTATAAGAACGGTGATGGATAGTGTACCCGGGGGTAGCTTATCCGGGGGGTTATTGCAGAGAATAACCTAGAGAGAAGTGAGAGCAAACAAGTAGGAGAGAGAGTCAAATGTATTAAATGAACTCAGTGTGGTTTACGAGGAGAATAAGAGCTGCTATTTATAGCAGCCATAAATGCGATGAGAGTACATGTGTCAATAATCTAACGGCCGAGGGGTCACCTCAATCGGGGTGGCACCGTCATTCGCATGTGCACCGCATTAAATGCGGTGGGTGGATGTGACGCCGCATTAAATGCGGTGGTTGCCTATCCCCAAAGGGAATCTTCGATGATTGAGCTGTTAGCCGAAGGCTCCCCTATAGCCGAGGGCTCTTTGTAGCCGAAGGCTACCCTTATGCCGAGGGCGTGTGTGAGCCGAAGGCTCCTGAATTTCGCCGTCTTCTCCCAATATCTTTGTATGTGGAAAATCAGTTGTTTTCTGGAGTTTGGAGCCTTCGGCCATGGAGCCGAAGGCATCCCCAGGCACACCGTGGGTTCCTTTGAGCTTGGGCCGCGGTGCTTTGGGCTTCATGCGCTTCTTGGGCCTGTGTTGGAGTAGCAGGAGTCTGTGGGTCGGGGGTTCCCGGGCCATATACTCCATCAGGAGTCCCCCACTCCTTTTGTTGAGAGGTAGTCGAGGCAAAGAGGAGTACTTGAATATTCTGATTTTTTTTAGTTTCCATTTTTTATGTTTTGTTTCATGGAGGAAAGCCTGAGGGGTAGTCCCCCACTCATGCTGGCCGAAGGTGCTTCGGGCTGGAGGAGTAGTTGTCGTGCTGAGTTCCGTAGTTTCTAGGCCTCATAATGTGATTGTGCGGATGATGTTGAGGGCCTTGACTCAGCGGGAGATGCCTCGTTAAAAAACCTCACTACGGGAAAACCCAGCAGGAAACAATTCTAGTGAGGGAAAAAGAGTACACCAGATGCCGATCTGAGAATGAGGACATGGCGCCAGGGGCCTGACTAGAATGATGATGGGGGCGATGGTCGCACGAAGCATGAGGGCGACGGCCGCCATGAGATGGGAGCCCAATCGCAAAATGAAGGCATGAAGGCTGGCGCTAAAGGCATCCATGAGATGTTAACTTCAGCATGACAGCTGACCTGAAATGATGAAGGCGATGGTCACCATCCAGGGAGGGATGGGAACCCCAATCACATGAGGGCATGATGCTAAAAGCATGCTTGAGCATGAAGGCCACACACTAAGCATGAAGGCACTGGTATGAAGTCCAGGCGCTGAAGATATGGGCGCTAACATGAGGGCCACGCGCTGGTGATGAGGGCGCTGGCATAGAGACCACACGCTAAGGACTAAGTCCCTGTCATGAGGGCCAGGGGATGGTCATGAGGGCGCCGGTCCGGAAATCCACACAACGGTCCTCATCCATGAAGTGGGAGGATGATACCGGTCTTGAGACAGATGATCACGTTGAGACCAAGGGGTCCGCCGTGTCATCATATGAATGATCACGATGAGACCAAGGGGTCTGTCGTGATGCAAAGACGTCGGCACTGAGGGGCTGGTCCTAAAATCCATGCAACGGTCCTCATCCATGAAGTGAGGGAATGAGGCCGGTCTTGAGAGGGATGATCACGTTGAGACCAAGGGGTCTACCACGCCATCATATTAATGATCACGTTGAGACCGAGGGGTCTGCCGTGATGCAAGGATGTCGACACTG